CCCCCCCCCTCCCCAAATGCACCCATGTTAATTAATGCTTTAAGCTTGCAAATCTCCCCTGGGCAGGAGCTGCCAGGTCTGGAAGGTGTCCCTGCTCCCCCGGGGACGAGAAGGGTTTAGCCCTTCTGTGGGAGGGGGCGAAAGGCAATGGGGAACAAAAGGCATCACAGACTCAAGCTCAACTTACCAAGTTCATGGCCTGTCCGCAAAAGAAAGGAAAAAAAAAAGGTTAGAGCATCGTGGGACCCTGTGGGCACCCAGCACCCCCCCCAAGTTGTGTATCCCCCACTCCAGCTCATCACCGCAGCCTGATTTGGGGAGCAAACCCCTCGACCCAGCTGGTCACCGGGGGATGCAGATGGTGGGCACCGATGTCCAGGCTTAATCCCACCAGGAACGGAATGCTAAAGCCCCCCACTATTTTAGGAGGTCACTGTGGCAAGCCAGGCCTGTGCCTTTGTTGGCTTTTTAATAGCCTTTACAGCCTTTAACGTCCTTTACAACGTCCTCAGCAGCCTCCAACACTTGCAGCCAGGGCACGGAGAGGAAGAGCCGCACGGCTCCTGCCCTGCCCGGCAAAGGGCACCTGCACCCGGCCCCCCAGGATGTCGGCACCAACTCCCCTACAGGCACTGTAAGGAAGACCCTGGGCACAACCCCTCCACACCGTGTGTGCATTTATACAGGAGACCAATTATTTTTCCTTTTCCCTTTTGCTCCGGAGGTTGTAGAACCACCGGGCAGGAGCGGAGGGCTCCGAGGTCTTGCCCGGGGCAGGGCTGCTCCTCCAGCCGCACCGCTAGGACACGCGCGTGCTGGTCCCACCGCACACTTCTCTGTTTTCCCTCTGTACCTTCCTCGGGGATCAGTCGCTTCATTTATTTTCACCTGGGGCAGGGCAGGAGTGTGGGCATGCAGCCACATGCCGGGCAGCACTAACACACACATGACTGCAGCTTAAAAATATATATATATATTGCTCACGGAAGGGAGTTTCCATTCAACGGGACAAGCGCTGCGTGAGGGCAGAAGGCTGCCTGCGCTGGGCTTTGCCTCCGAGTATGGCTGGGAAAGGACGTTCTGCATCCACAGTGTATTGCTTAGGGAATCGCTGCCCCGGCTGTTCCCTGCCGGATTCCTGCAGGCAGCGTGGCCGGGGACGCGCCCCCACCGATCCCGGCCTCCATCCCCGGACCCCTGGGGTCACTCCTGCCTCTGACTCCCCCTTGCCCTGTGCTGTGCTGCAAGGAAAGCCTATTTTATTTTATGTTATTTTATTTTATGCTATTTTATGTTATTTTATTTTATTGTGCAAAGGCTTCTGCGGTTGCTGCCTTGCTGCCCCTGCCCCCCCCCCGGCTGCCCTCTGGGGGTTGGGA